TTATTAATCAAGAGTTAACATTAATGAAGGATTTATATCATCAACCCGTAGGGGTGCAGGGATTTCGTACTGCGGGGTGTTAAGCCCTGCATCCTAAACCCGGCTTCACGGCTCTAGGGTTGAGGGTGTGCTTGTAAATAGGTCTGCAGCTCACCAAGGCGAGTAGGACGCAAGACTGTTGAAGTTTGATACCTACCCTAAACTCCCCATTGCAAACAAAAGCCGTCACACTTGACATGCACAAATGCATTTGCAAACACGAACCTTAAGAACTGAAGAAAAATATTGACAACAACAAATGCTGCAAAGAACTGCTAACCTCTTGGAACTATCGACAAATACAGGACGGTTTAGGGTTTAGGGTTTAGGATGAGTCTACCCATAGGCCCCGAAGTAGTTCCTTTTTGGGATTACCTTATAGGGTTCTCAATATAAACCATCAAAAGGAACTACTTAGGGGCCTATGGCTAGGGTTTATGATGCCCTAAGCCTAAACCCTAAACCCTAAACCTAAATCCGAAGCTAAACCCTAAACCTAAATCCGAAGCCCTAACCCTCAGCTCCTGGCGCCTCGACTTGGGGCAAAGCTTGCGCTGCCAAGGCCTTCGGAAAGGCTCATAGAACAGGGACTTCATGGGGTCCTTTAAGGGGTGATCGATGGTTTAGGGTTTTGTTGTTGAGGGTTGAGGGCTTCGGGTTTAGGATTCAAGTTCCGTTAAGGGTTCCTTTTCGGGTACAATGTAGGGTTCCTTCAAGGGTTCCTGTGAGGGTATTCGAAAATGTGTCCTTTAAGGGGTCCGTAGGGGTTGAGGGTTTGATATCCTTTGGGGGATCTATGAGGGTTTAGAGTTAAGGTAGGGTTTCTAGAGGGTTTCTTGAAAGACTCCTTTACGAAAACACGAGGAGTCCAGGGGCTTCAGGGCTTAGCGCTCAGTGCAAGTGTCTTCTGCCGGCAGCCCCACTGCTTCGATTAGCTTCGAAGGGTTTCGGGTTAGTCCGAATTCCGAAATCCACAAACCCCTAAACCTTAACCCCTTGAGGCCCTAAGATCATAGTACCGGTATAGATCCAAACCCTACACCTTAAACCTTAACCCCTCTTGGCCCTAAGACCATAGTACCCTTATAGTTCCGATGAGAAGGGACCTCTAAAGGAACCCAAGGCTTCCCAAAACGTCCACCTGCGCTGTTGCTGCCGGCAGCTTCTGTAGGCGCGCCAGTGACCAAGCCAAGCCTTCGTCAGACCGAGGTGTGCCGTGAGATTCTTTTTAAGAGTTTTAGGGTTTTAGGGCTTTAGGGTTTAGGGGAGGGGTCATAGTTTCGGGTTTAGAGTTCTATAAGAGTTCTAGGGTTTAGGCCCTTAGGGTTTAGGGTTCAGAGTTTGGGGTTTAGAGCTCTATGCGGGTACTATACTAAAGCCTGTAAGGGCTAGCAGAAGGTCTTACCAGCAGCGTTGCTATCAGGGTGTTCCATAAGTTCCATATGGAGATTCTACAAAGGTTGAGGGCTTACATGCTACAAAGGTTTACTCTAAGGGCTTTCTGTACAGTGTTTCATTTAAGGGGTTCTGCCAGGGTTCCGAAAGAGCTCTATAAGGGTTCAAGACGGGTTACTTTCAAGACCCATTCTAAGGGCTACTTTGAGGGTTACTACACAAAGTGTTTCGAAAAAAAGAACCGAAGTAGCAGGCAAAGTTAGCATGCACATCAAGGCTGTTGTTGCTTATGCCAAAGCTGCTAAGTATCATTGATCTTAATTTTTCGCAGAAGTACTAGTAGCAGTCGTTTCTCGGCAGCAGCAGCAGCAGCAGCAGCAGCAGCAGCAGCCGCAGCAGCAGCAGCATCAGCAGTCGGTCGGTCTAGTATCAGTGTGACGATGAATGAGTTATAGTTTATCCAGACTGATATCTAGCCAGCTATGGGTCTCTGAGGCACCAGCGCGAGAGGTCTGCTGGCTGGAGCCTTATCAAACAAGGGGATGTTCTTCAAATCCGTCGTCATTTTGCTGTAGCTGACGGCTCCCTAAGGAGCTGGCTCCTCCGATATTCGGGCGGCATTCTCCCTGGGTTGGAAGGAGTGACGAACACAACTGGGCGTTAGGGTTTAGGGTTTAGGGGTTAGGGTTTAGGGTGTTGCATGTATCCGGATGCATGTCTGTGAGTTCTCAACCATTGAAGCGGAAGTATCGAGCACCACACTGGCACCTCTGCACATGCTCAGCTGCGAAGCCTGTGCGACAAGGCAGGGATTGTAGGGGAACTGTAGTCAACACTCTTTGCAAACCATCAGCATGACAAAATCCCGGCCCGGCGTTGCAGCTACAGCTAGCTTGGCTTCCGGCCCGTTTTGGGCACACGGAGCTGTGCGAGCAGCCACAAAACCTTCGCTTGCCGAAATGCTGTCAAGCAATGGTGCATACATGCGATAAAGCTTACTGTAAATATGCAGAATACGCGCAAGGTTTTCGTTCTGGTTGAAACATGTAGACCCCCGTTGAATAAAACCGTATGAGCGGCCTTAATTAGTACCAGGATCGTTACTATAAGCCCTATTTACGGAACAGGTTGTTAAAGAGGTGCGTATATTTCAAAGCACCCCCCCCCCCCCGCCATGCACGACAAAACTTGTTAGCTCCTACAAACCCATTACAAATCCCGATTCTGGCGTCGGCCTCGACCTGCTGTTGGCTGTCCCAATGTGCTGCTTCCAGGCTGTTGGACGTCCACAGAACCGGCGCCTCATGGTGTTGCTCAGGGTTCCTGTACAGTATAATAGTGGATCCACAAGGGTTCAATAAATGCTTGGGGTCTAGGATTTTAGAGGGGTTGGGATTAAGGATGTTTAAGGCTCAGGGTTTGAAGTTTGTTAGGATTCGGGCAGATGCTAGTCGAAGCTGTTGCATTTACAGGATGTCCTTAAGTTTCATTCTCATTGTCGCGACCATCCTCATCATCACCATCATCATCATCATCACCATCGTGCTTATTGATCTTCGACTTCGTCTGCTGAATCACGAGCACCAGCACCAACAGCATGCGTATCATCGTCAACACCCAACATCATCGTCATCGTCATATTAGGTCATCAAGTCATAGTCATCACCAGCAACAAAATCACCCTCAACAGCATCATCAGTATTGTTAATATCATCTTCACTATGATGATGATGGTCATCATCATCATCATCAGCCGCAGCATGATCTCCATGCGACTCGAAGCTGAGAAACGGGAGAGGGAAGGAGGAGGAGGAGGAGGAGGGAGAAGTAACTCTGTGATGACAAGGATGGGTGCGATAGTTCTTGCAGCGCACTCTAGGCTTTAGAATTTGCGGCTTTTTCATTTCTGAGCAAAAATCATGGCGTTGCACGGCGTCAGCATATCTGGTAGTCGTTCGCAGGTGGCCTGCCGCACAGGCAGTCTGTTTTCATGTGTGAAAATGGCAGGTCAACCCTTTCTCGGTATGGAAGCAGCGCTGCTTAGCAGCCACATCGACTTCCAAAACCCCTGAACCCCATCAAAACATTCCACTGATGGCTAAGAGTATCACCGAGGCCTCTGGCAAGAGCTGCGCCAGGCCGTGCGCCCAGCGCTCGTAGCGCTCGTCGGGCCCTCGGCCCAGGAAGACTCAGGACGCTAAATATCCTTGCACATACACATCCCCAAATCCCTAAACCGTGGTGCATACCAAGAAAGCCCGGGCGGCCAGGCCTAGCTTTGCGACTACGGTGGGGGTGTTGTTGGTGTGTGTGTTTTGTCGTGCTAGGCACTGTTTGTCCGTTTCTGGTCTCGAAGCCAGCAAGCAAGCCTGCACGACGCCTGTCCGCCAGGCATGGGGCGGCCCACGTCTCTACATCAGATGCCGGCACTCCGAGTTGAGGCAACGCTCGTAGGGGTGCGATCCTCAAAGCCGTGCCGGGCACAGCTAGCGACTCATGAACCGTCTGCTTACTCCCAGTGGGATGCTCTTGGAAATACGGCTTGGAACCCCAGACGGTCCTCGCGTTGTGATCGCTACAACATGTGCCCAATCCGATGCGCGCCCGCCTTTGCCGAGAACCTCTCGAAGCAAGTGCTTGCAGAGGTCATACACAACCGCAAAGAGCTGCGTGCAACTGCGATCGCTTTCGGAGTTGGCGATGCCAAAAGCTAAGCTCATCATTGACTGTGGTGGGCCATTAACGACTTCTCGCCGGCATGACACTCACGTCATGCCAACATTGAGTGCATACTCCACCCTAACCCTAAACCCTAAACCCTAAACCTTATACTCCTGGACAGTACTTCGTCGGAACGTGTCGCGGCCAAAAGTTTCAGGTGCCAGAGCCGGCGGAAGCCGAGCCAAGACGGCATGGCCACACTCAGACGGTTTCGGGTTTGGGGTTTAGGGTTTGGGGTTTAGGGTTTAGGGTTTACGATGCGGTGTGCAGAGCGCAGCGGTTTGTCGATCAGTTTCACTTTATGCAGCTCGGCGTCACTTTGTAGATCAGTCTTCAGCCGATCCGGAAACTACGAACCGGACGTGTCCAACTCACTTTCGGCTGCATGGGGCTCTTCTTTCACGGTTGAGGACTTAGAGTTCCTAAACCCTAAAGCCTCGATTGTCAACCTTTGGTCTTGCATGGTACACTGCTTCGTCAGGATAGGAGACTTTACCTATACTTTCCTATCCCCAAGCTACATGAGCCTTAATTTGGAGGATTTGCACACGCTAGCGAGAAGCTAAACGTACCCAAACGGCCTGATCAACAATGCCCAAACGCTTTCGCAACATGCGAGTGTCTTCTTCACCTTGACCCTCCCATATACCCCTAGCTATGGGCACAAAAAAGTCCTGGCAGACCAGCTGCTTGCTTCTGACAGGCTGAGGAGGCTCTTCGGCACTTCCGGCATCAGCGAGTCCGCGCGCTTCACGTCGATGTTGCGCAGCAGGCAGCAGGGGCAAAGGAGAATCGCGACGCACCTGGGCCCCGTTGCCCTGAACCCTAGCCTAGTACAAACCCGAGACCCCCGCACTCTAGGCAAGCTCTAAACCCTAAACCCCGAGACCCCTACATGGGGCTGTGGTGTGCGATGCGCTGGGTTCAGAGGGCCGAAATCATGTTTGTGGCGCTATTCCGGAGAAGAGGGCGCAAAGAGGCAGAGCTTGACATCAAACACCCAGCGAAAGCTTCCCTGAATCCTATAGTTAACCCCTAAACCCACAAACGCTTAAACCTTAGACCCTAAACCCTAAACCCCCAAACCCCTAAGCCCTACCCGTAAACCAAGGAGTTCGAAGCTGAGGCTCCAACTGAGGGAAGCGATTGTAGATCTGCGTAGCCACGACGCTCAGGGCCTGAGTTGACAACTCGGCCCAGCGGCTCTTCCTAAACCCCAAACCCCATTACTTGGGTCCCAAAAGTATGTAGAATAATAGCAGCACATGCATTACCCTGAACCCTGAAATGCGGACCATAAATCCTGTTCTACCCTAGACCCTACTGCGCCGGGCCAATATTTCGACCCACTAGCGTCAACAACGAAGTTGACCCATGCCCCCAGCCTCTTCTCCCTGACTCCTAACAAAAGTGAGCCCTGGGGCCTCCTCCGGAACGAAAAAGGGTTATAATTTTAAACCGCGTAGCAATTACTCCGCTAGCCTGCATAGGGTAAACGACACGCTTGTATGTTAGCTAATACGCGTAGCGACTTGTAGCTCGAAACTTTCGGTCCGGGGATGTATACTACCCTAGGCCCTAAACTGCCCTAAACCCTACAGTCGCAAAGCCCTAAACCCTCAACCCTATAAGGCCTACAGTCCATAATCCCTAAACCCTCAACCCGAAAGACCCGCAACCCTACAGCACCCCTAAGGCCATGGGTCGGAGAACTGAGCCTCCGACCCCACAGCAGTGCATCCCAAGGACGATGGCCGGCAGCGCAACATCCAGCAACGCCTTCTCCATAACCTCCAGGAAGCCTTCGATACTGTAGGGACCCTAAAAATTTCAGATCAGGATTTTGGGGCTCCTTTATAGCAATATTATAGAATAAAGAATCCCCAAATTAGTCTTGGTGCTTCTATATGAGGGAGTTTACAGGCTGTAGGCTTTAGGGTTCATCTTCGAAACACAGGGTTCCTTGAACTGTGGGTTCCTTTAGGAAGCCTTCGAACATCTTCGAAGCTGTGTCAGGTTTAGGGTTTAGGGTTT